GTTTCGAGATTGCATTTAAGACAACCTTAAAATTGGACCATGAATATCTTTTGAATTTTCCACTGGTATTCATTGATAACTGATTTTCTCTCTGGTTCGCATCATGAAAATTGGAGCACGTGCTCCGTTATCATCTAAACTAGTGCACACTCGTGTACTTAAAATGAAATAGATATATATATATTTGAGGTTTGGCAAAAGCGAGATCGAAGTTTCAGGGCAGACCAGTGTAGTAACAAAGAACAGCTAGGCCTTATTATGCTATTCTGTACGCTCGTTTATATTTTATTACAAATTCTCCGTTAATTACTTCTCTGCCGACTATACGACGCGGTATTCACGCAGAATTCCGGTTCGGTCAGCGCGTCACATCGTTCCACAGGTCGAAACTCGAAAGTGTCGAAAGCGTTGCTTGCAGTGGAGCAGGTATGGAGCCTCGTGTGAGGCGCGTGCACGGTGCGTACGTACCGTCCACGTTGGAGGCGCGTAGAACACGCCTCGTGATAATACTCGATCCGGTCGTTCCACTTATACATAAAATGTAATAAACAACGCTCGATCGCCGCGCCGGAGCGATTGCTTATCGAGAATCGTGCCGTTTATCTAGAATCTAGCACCACTGAGCACCACACGCCGCGTTCGATCGCACAAATCACGCACAAAGATGGATCTTAATCGGAGATGGTACGCGTAGTCGCCACAGTCGCGGTAACGTTACCGAAATCGGCAACGTTAACGCCGACCGGCACAGTATACGGCATACCGTATTAAATTTCATTCGCAAATTCAATTTCACGCGCCCGGCGGAAAAAATGCAACTTAACACTTGATTATGCGAGAATGAATCTTGTCTGCTGTGTCGAGAGCTTCTAAACTGCTGATACAGCACACTGCGACGTGACGCGAAATCATCGGATTGTACGACAAATCTGAACATACGAAAACTGTTATTATCCGACTGAACTAACACATTAACAAATTATTTATAATTAATAAATTTTCACTGAAACGTCTTATCTTATTGGAATTAATTAGATATTCTTTTTAATTTCGGGACGTGATTTTTCAGTTATTATATTTATAATTATTATATATACTATTGTCCTTACCTTTTGCTAAATTGAGGTATCTTGAAATGCGAAGCCACCGTTTCATGAAATATTTACGAAGCGTTTGAATCTCTTGCAAAACGATCGGATTCATTCTTTTTTTAATATTTAATTTTACAAAAAAGCAGAGTTGGGAAATAACGCGTTACTTGTAATGCCGCTATCATTTTCGTTATTTTTTTTCTATTACAGACAGAAAAAAATAACGATCGTTACTTTTTGCAAATACAAGTTTTTTATTTTTTTTCCCGTAACGATACGTACTTTTATCGTATCGATATGCGTATCGCACATTCCTACTACCAATATTGAAAATCACTGTACAACATTTTTAAACTTTTTTCATGTTTCATAACATGCCGCAGGTAATTCTGATAGATTTTTTCTCGTAGATTATAAATCAGTAAAGAAAAACGCTTCAGCACGTCAAGTTTTTGAGAGAAATCAGATTAAAGAGTCAACAAAAGAACGCGTCTTTGGCTGTTTTTTAAGTTGCTTAAAAAAAAAATGGAACGTCATACAAATTCAGGTATTATCTGAAATGAAAGCTCGAACTTTTTGCAAACTATAACTGTAAAATAAAAATAAATATGTAACATGATAAAATTTTTTTATAGATTTTTGAGGATCGCGTACCAACTGCAGCATGTGCGTATAATGCCATCCGCTGCAAGTCTTCTCTCTATACAGATTAATTAATTGAGAACCTCCACAGTGTTATAACTATCTAATTAATTAGTTAGTTTATTGAAGTTAAATAATTATAAGATGTTCTATTAGATGGTATTTAATTATTAATATTATTCTATAGTAGACTTGAGTGTACACACAAATACACATATACTGACACGTATGTTAAAAGGCTGTACCTTTACTTCTGTGTTTCTCTGTATAATTCTTATATATTCATACGTACGTGAAATGATTGTGCAGCGGACGGCGTACACACACGTTGTAATTGGTGCGCAATCCTAAAAAAATCTGTGCTACACTGAAAAAAATTTCTGGTTGAAAATGGACGAATCAGAATTTTCTGGTTAAATTTATTAAAATTCTAGTTGAGATAACACAGGAATTCTGGTTGATACAATATTTCTGGTAAAATCTACTAGAATTCTCATTTTTACCAGAATAATTACATCAATCAGAATTCTGATTATCTCAACTAGAATTTTAATAGATTTAACCAGAAAATTTTGATTCGTCCATTTTCCACCAGAATTACTATTTAATCCAACCAGATCATTTTTCTCAGTGTACAAAAAAGTTTTGTCATGTTACTCATTTATCTTTATTTTACAGTTGTTAGCTTAAGGTTGTAGCTTAGAATTTTTAACTTTAATATTTATTTTGACAATTAATATTGATTATTAAAAATTTGTAATTTTTTACTTAATATCTTATTTTAACATAAAAAAGAATGTAATGAAAAAAGTAACAAATCTTTCTAATTGTAAGTAACAGTGACGCGTTAATTTCATGAAATAACGTTCCCAACACTGCAAAAAAGGTATTAGGATCGAATCGTCAAGTTTTATGGACGTTACCTGTAGTTTTTTGTAACTTTAGGGAATAATATCGAAATGTGAAAAATAAAAAACTTATAAATAACTTTATGAACTTTTAAACTAACACCCCTTAAATCTATTAGAATTTTAAATCAATTTTTTTTAAATTTGAATTAAATCTGAACTAAATCTAAATTTATAGATTATAGAGATATAACATATACGTATAATAAAGTCTAATCATTGCTGACGTATAATATTACCTCTGCGTAATATAATAACAACAACGAAAAGTATAAAGTATACGTCGGTGTAAATCTGTTTGATATGATATAAAATAAGTGTCCGTGTGTTTTAGATGAAACTCCGCGTTTAGTGGCGCCTCTACATGCACAAAACATGCACATTGAACTATTTAGTCATGGATATTTCCAGTGGGTAATACATCTACAGTTTTCGATTTTTTTAAATTTTGAATTTATATGATATTTTTTTACAAAATATGTTTCTTCAAATTATTGTACCTATAAAAGTATTAGAGATATTAAAAAACCAATAATTTACTAGATATTTTAAACAAAAATACTAGATATTTTATACTTTATTCTGATACATTTTAACATGGAATATAAAATATTTCGTCAACTATTCATTTTTTTTTTTTGGTAAGCGTATCCTCGTAACCACTCGTTACAGATTGTTAGATTAATGATGTCACGAAGCGAGAACAGACATAGTAAAATTTCTTGCAAAATATATTAAAATAGAAATATTTTTCAATAAAACAGTATTTGTATTTGATAGAGTACACTTGTAAAATATTATGAAAATTCTCTTTATTTTGATTTTAATAAAATAAAATTTTATTTATTTCTCAATATGATAGCTGTCATATATAGCTTGTTTCGTTTTTCGGTTAGGCACAATTCAATTTCAAATATCTGGTTATTTATTTATTATTGATTACCAGAACAGAAGGGGTTTTCGGTATATTTTACAATTTTATCGATTGTAAAGGTTATTGTATTAAAAAATTGTAATTTTATTTTTCTCGTTTCTAATGTCACAATCCAAAACGGTTGCATTGAGTAGACAGGAGTCTCAATACTTTATGACAGAATAATAAATTGAATGAATCGGTGCAAAGAAAACATATATATATGTATATCTCTGCTAAAAAAAAATACTTTTTAGCGTTTCGAATTCGAGGGCAACCTTTTCCGTTGTCGCTCTCTCGAACGCGCGTGACATACAGCGAAATATCCATTCCCCGAACGCGTCGATAGTTGGAAAACGCGGCTGCTTTAATTTACCGTTCTATAATAAAGAACGTCCCGTCCCGTTTTGCCATATATTCGAAGCATGATTTAAACGAAATGACGTAAACGCAATGCAATTAAGTATAGCGACATTCATTTTGGATCTCTAAAAAGATTTCTATAGGACGAACGTTACTCGTAAACTACGTTTTGGCGATGTAAAGGTAGAACAAAAATAAGAGCCCAAGATTCCTAAGGGTGACAAAACTGTTCTGGGAGGACGTTTTGCTAAAAGCGAAAGAGGCGGGTCTCCACGAGGATTGGCGAAAAAATTGCCTGGAAAATTGCCTCGGGAGGAGACACACAGAAGACCTTCTTCTTTTTCGTTTGATCGGCTCCGAATAGGTAAAAAGGATAACGATACGTCGTAACTCGTAATACTCGTAACTCACCCGAGCATCGGGAGCTCGACCGAGAAAGCATATGGTACAATCGCTGCTTAGTCGCGACATCTAGCGGTACCGTTTTCTCCCTTTTCCCTTCCTAACCCCGTACCATACGTACGTTCGGTTCGGAGCACGTCATACTCCGCCATTGTTACCCTGCCTGTCTGTGCC